ATATGTATATTATTCTTTATAAATACCTTTAAAACCCTATAATGATTTCCCCATGCTTATGGGTAAAGTTGCTTTAACTTAACTCACTCTGAATTCATTGTGCTTCTTTGAAAAGGACATCAAATCAAATAGTTTGATGATAAATACAGTTTTTTTCCTCTCTCTCTCTGTGGTGCTGGGGATTGAATCCAGGGGTCTCAGACAAGAGAGTCAAGTGCTCTGCCATTGAGCTACAGCCCCATCCTATAAGGACAGTTTTTTTTTTTTAACGATAAGTGACCAATGAATTTGATAATACTAACCTTGCAGTGGTTTCCTTGAGTATTAAATAAAAGAGTATATGTTTAGCTTTTAGCACAGTTCCTGAAACATAGCAGTCACTCAGCATAAGTTAACTTCTTTTTCCTTTCCTTCTTCCCACCAGAGTAGATGGATGAAATGTATAGCTTTGAATGTTATTAGGCTATTTAAAAAAGTGAAATTATTTTGGGGAGGTATTGCCTATCAACTTTATTAGCCCTTTGGTGGAAATTATTTTAAAAAGACTGGATTGCTTTCAATTTTCAAGGATGCTAATATTGACAGAAATTAGACTTTTTTGGTTAAGCTGTCCTAACAAAACCCATACTTTCAATGTTCAAATCAGATCCACCCTAAATCCTTTGGAAATATCACCATATGTCCATTATCTGATGAGGGGATAAAGAACAGCTGCATCTAAGGAAAAACATTTCATGGGGTCTGCTTTTACTTTATTTGGACACTTGAAGTAGATGAGGTCATTAGAAAGACCTGATAGTTTGGGAATTGCAAGCTGCTGTTGGTGCTGGTTGTTATTTCTCAAAATATTACCTTCTTGCTATAAAAATGTGTTCCTTCTCAGGCTAAATTTCATAAAGACCTTCCATCTGGTCTATACTGATAACTAGGATCTTAAGATGCCCATTCTTCTTACAACTTGTAGTTTAAAATGGTCCAGATGTAGAAGGATTGGGTTTTATAGCTTCTTCCAAAGGATTTTGACTTCCTAATCCTATAATTGCACATGTTTAGAACTGATCAACAGGAGAGAGTTCTGACAATAAACCTGTTAGAGTGTTTCACTGCTGGGTGCATTTTTCATTTGACATGTTTAGGGGAATACAGCCAGGAAATAAAAGCACTGAAATCTATCAGAACAAGACCACAGTAAGCCAGATAACCCTCAATGAGTGAAACAAGATAAGGAACTAGAAATAAAAAATAAAAATTCAGCAACACCTCCTCCTTATCCACAGGTTTGATTTCTACAGTTTCTGTTATTTGTGGCTAATTATGGTCCAAAACATTACATGGATAATTCCAGAAATGAACAATTCATGAATTTTAAATTATGTGTCATTCTGAGTCGTGTGATGAAATCTCATGCCAACCTGCTCCATCCTACCCAAGACAGAAGCACATCCCTTTGTCCAGCACAGTCATGTAACCATGTATATGTTACCTGCCCTTCAGTCATCAGCAACCCTCTTGGTCACCAGATCTACTGTTATGGTATTATAGTGCCTTCATTTAATTAATACCATTTCACTCAATAATGTCACCCAAATTCAAATGTAGAGATTCCAAAGGCATAAAATGTGGGAGGAGAGATTAACTCTGGTACTCTGTAGAAATGCTGTAGGACCTATAGGAGAAAAACATGGTATATATAGGGTTTAGTACTAGCTGTGGCTTTGTGCATCCACTGAGGGTCTGAGAACATATAAGTGGGGATGGGGTGGTGGGAAACTACTGTAAAACCAAACTGTGATAAGGCTGGAGTTCTCAAGTATTTTACCTATTTGTTATGATCCAGGAATATCCCAAGTTATTGACTGAATAATCTCTATTAATTCTGGTTCTCAGTTTCTTAATCCACAAAATGTGAGAACAAATACTAAATTATGAAAAATAGATGTGATGTTGATGAAATCCTTTTATCCTTGGAAGATAGATGTTGGTAAGTTGACTGACCTGGTCCACAAGTTTTAGGGACCATGATACAGAAAATAAACAAAACAAAGACAAAAACAAAGAATTCAGCCACACTGAAGAGGTGCTTCCCCAGCCCAAACCAAATCCTTCCTCTTTTTCTGTTCCCTGTTTGCTCTTCTGTCTCCCTTCTTACCCATGTAGCATATGTCACTGTTTTCCTGAAGCTAATGTTCATCTAGTTTCACACATATAAAAATGTGGTAGGTAGAAAAGAAAGACACATAAAACATGAGATGCCAGTCTTGTATCTGCCCTGAGATGGTCTTGATAACATATAGATGGTGTGAACAATAAATTCCAATTTGAGTGAGATTCTGCTCTAGTTTCTAGCTTATTTTATCAGAAATAGAAGCAAGGCTTTCCTACATTAAAACATTAGATTTAGAACTTTTACTTTTAAAGGATAGTAAAAATTCCAAAAAAGTCGATTAAAAACATGAAAAAATAATAAAATAAAAAAACCCCAAACCAAAAAACCACCCTGTGTAAAAAGGTGAAGGGTAAGGAACTGGATGCTTGAGTGATGAGAAGATGCCCCGAAAGCTCAGGGGCTGAGGTTTTTTGCAAAGGGATGCTCCTTCCATTTGAACCTTTGATATCTTAGTGATGGTGGTGGTGGTGGTGGGGTAGTATGCTGATGGGGAAGTTGCTGAGCCAGGTTGCAACAAGGTGCTGCTAATGACATGTCTTACTTCCATTTCTAATATCAATTCCATTACATACGGGGAAAGGAACATATTACAATATCACTTGGAATAGAGATGTGTCTTGGATTTTTGTCTCTTCCAAGATACCACCCATGAGAATACCTGATTTGGTTATTTCTATCAAAAGAATACAAATTTATTTACATGATTGCTGCTGACCAGGCATACAGAAGAAGAAATGGGAAGCAAATATTTTGAATGGATGCCAGAATAGCTAACAAAGGTGACATCCAGCCTCTCAGAGTTGCCAGGGAGGCTGTATTACGTCTCAATACTTCCCAAGGAAATGGAATGCTAAGGAAGATACCCAGTAGCACTTGGTCTGGAAATATGTCCTTGGGTGAAGTCACCATTGGCAGGCAATGAGAAAAGAATAGGAAGTTGAATGTGCTATGTTTGGGTTGTTGATTTCTGCAGAACTTAAAATTTCTTAGCTGGTGGATACACATTGTTAATTTGAACACTTCTATTATAAAAAAAGATCTGTGAAGTATACACCTCTGGAAATCTTCTTGAAAAGAACAACTACCTAAAGGAATATTTCAGCATGCATATCCCCTAGTCATGGCTACATTTTACAAGCTACTGTCCAGCTCTGTCATTAAAAGTCTCAATGTATACAGAGATCTGTAGTAGTCCTTAGGGCTTCCACAGTGCTTATCAAGTGATGATGACATAATAGTTAAGTTCTATCAATAATGATGCATTAGGATTTGAACAACTTTCTCTTTACAGCTCTCTCAGTGATGAAATAACCTGGACAAAAGTACTTCTCTCACTTCTGTGCAGCAAAATGGTAAAGGGTAAGGTGCTATACAATTTTAGGAATAAGCAATGCATTTTATTTTAAACATGATAAAACACTGAGCTGAGTTCTACTTTGGAGGTCAACTCCATCATCACAGCTGTGGCCTGGAGGCTAAAATTCTGAAGGGAGGAAAAAAGCCAGCAGATATATTTTGTACATTTGCTAAGTGGGCCTCAAATGCCTCTGTTCATTTAATTGTTGAAAACAGGGTCATCTCATTTAATTCAGCAGGAAAACAAGTGCACCAGTAAGAGAAGAAAGACTGTTTCATAATCTCCTCTTTGTATTTCAAAGGTATATATATCTTCCCTATGAAAGGGTCTCCCCAGGGAGCCAGACCCACGTGCCTGCTTTTTCTCTCTTGCACAGGGTTAAGTCAGAGAAGTCCCTGACTTGCAAGTCCACCTTGGGTGTTTAAGATGATAAATATCATGTCTGAGCGTGTAACTATGGCAAATACATATTCTGAAGCAATTTCAAGTTCAGGTATATGCTCTGCTTGGCATTTTGAGGGAAGATGTAGGAGGAATGATAAAAGAATCTTGGATTATTTGGGAAAAAATCCCTCCCCCAATTCATTTGATCATTTATTATTTCCTTACAGGCCCCCTCCCTCCCTGAGAGGTTTGGCGCAGGAGGCAGGGAAGGACAATGAGGAAGGGTGGGAAAGAGCATCCTGGGATGCCGATACCTTCTGCTCCATCCTTCCAACTCAAGGACAAGCAGTGTTGGGTCCTTTCTGAAACTGGACACAGGCAGAAACGTGTCAAAGTACATTCATTTTAACAGTTCAAAACCATGTATGATACTGTGATAGTATCTTCATTTTTTTTTTCCATGCGGGGACCTGGCGTCTCACCTTACAGTGTTGGATGGAAATAGCTTAAGACCAAACTTCCCACCTTCACTCCCACTTCCCAGCTTTATTTTGTAAAATACCCCACCTGGAATTTTGTTCATCAGAATTGATACACGGGCATTTTCTGAGGGCTAACCAACCGCGTAGTTCTTTGGAATCAAAGGTTTTTCAATTATTGTTGGCTTTGAAATTACCTGTCTACCCATCTGCGGTCCCCAGGGCACACCATTTCTGTGGGGTTTCTACTCAACGTCTCCCACCCGGCACCATTCTTTGCAGATTCATTTAATTTTTAAGCTGCCTTGAATCCTTTTGCAAGGATGCAGGCTAACATTCTTAAAGCACAGTTATGCACAATGTCATACTCGGGTCCACACATTTGCGGGACTGTTTGGAGGAGAAATGCAATCCGTACTAAGTCCAGGGGGCACGCACAGTGCTCAGGCGGGTCGACCCGCTACGGTCTTTTTCCCCACACCCCAAGACTCAACTCCAGCTACTTTTGCACCTCAGAGGGGCAAAATTCCCCAAGCCCAAGCTTAAGGCCATGTCCTGAGGTGGGGGCGAAAGGGAAGCCCCCCCCCACCCCCCAAAGGTGTGCACCCCTCACCTTGTGGACGATGAGTGCAGCCGCGTCGTACTGGGAGAACTGGGGTGTCCTGCTGGCTCCAGAAGTCTCACTCGGAATCCGCTTCTCTTGCACTGGAGCTTTATCAAAGAGCGGACCGGCTCTCGGGTGTGCTGAGTCTCTGGGCGTCCTCCGCTTCAGCGTCCTTGCAGGTGCCAGTGCACCCTAGGTTTTCGGCTAGACCGACCCGGGAGCGCTGCGCACCGGGCTGCCCCGCGGGTTGGCAGAGCTGCGCTTCCTGGAGTCTAGGCGTCCGGACTGGAAGAGGAGGCGAGAGGCAGAGTGGGCAAGAGGAGGAGGAACAGGAACAGAGGGTAGTCTATTAAATCAGCCGTGCGGGTTGTAGGCGCTCAGGACACTAAGTTGGTAAGGGGGGTGGGTAGGATGGAAAGGTGGGGCGAGATGCAATGCAGGGGGTGATGGTGCAGGAGAACTAGGGTCGGAGCTCCGAGGTGCTCCAGGGCTTGCTTAGGCTGTGAAGGCGAAATTCTGGAGCTGGTGGAGCCCTCAGGGCTCGCGGTTGCAAACGCTAGAGGGCAGCGCTGTCCACGTTATAAACCTCGCCTATGGGGTTGTAGGTGTGGACAAGCCTCTCCTTTCCTGTGCCCTTTGCTGGCTGCAGCCCAGGCGGAGGCAAAAATAGGCAGACCCTATTCCTATCTTCTGTGGAAGGAAGGAAGGAGTGGAAAAGAGGGAGTAGTTGATGGGTTTGGACGCTGCCTCTCTGTGGCTCCTCTCAGCAAACCTTCTGGAGGTGAAATACATTTCCTCAGAGGAAAACACACTAAGGAAGGAATGCATTAAGGAGAGGTTGAGAAGTTGGGGAGGGAGAAGTGGAAGAAATTGGGGTGGGTCAAAGTGAAAGTGAGGCAAAGAGGTGGGGAAAGCAGAGAAAAGAGGATGGGTTGGGGGTGGGGTGGTTGGACCTGAGGGGACCTGCTGATATGCAGCTATTTTTCTGGCGGGAACTTTCCCCTGAAGGGCTGACATTTCATGTTGGCAGAGGGCTTTCTTCCTAGCCTTCTAAGAGCTCTTGGCTGTGTTGCAAGGCCAGAGAAATTAAACTTGTCCCTGTCTCCCTGAATTCTGGCTTCCTAAAGGAAGCTTCTTCCTTAGGGCTGGTTAGCTGTATTCTGTTTCGAACTTGAGTAACTGAAACCTTGAAGCTTTTCATAGGTTGATTCCCTGACATTGTGAAAAGAAATCAGATTATTTGATGTAGAACTCTGAAAGGCGAGGAGCCATAAAATGAGTTAGAAACACTCATGTAGCCAATATGATTTACAGACAGCCGGATGCAATCTTAGAGTTGAAAGGACCTGAGAACCCATATAGATAACTTGCATAGCGTCTCCAAACACTAGCCTCATACTTGCTTCTTCCGTGTGGTCATATGTTTGAATTGAAGAGCTATTAATTTTTTTTTTCATTTTGACAATTCTAAAATGAAACTCTTCTTCAATTAAATAAGCAAGCCATGTGTACCTTTCCTGCCTTTGGGAGTGTTTCTCAAGACCAGCAGGGGCTGAATGAGGGGAATTTCACTGAACAGAGAAAGGAAGCTGGGTGAACTATAGTTTTAAATTGTGATTTGCTTCTGTTAAGCCCATTAAAGCAAGAGAACTGGCAAAAGTATATTAAAGTATAGCAAAAGGATAAGGATAAAAAAAGGATAAGGGTGGAATCCCTTACCAGAGATTTGGTACATCTTGAAATTTGCTTGATGATAAAGGTGTTAGGTAAAAATAAACAGAAAAAGAAACATTCTTCATTAAAAAAAAAAAAAGGATTTCATAGGACTGTGTTTTTTTTAGGTATCCCAAGAGTGAGTATTATTGAATATATTGTTCTACCCTGGAAACCTTGGAGTCCTTCCAAGAGATGAAAGAAATTTAAATTAATTCGTTTTTTTTTAAAGAAATTATCTTACCTAGTATTTGGTTATTACAATGTAAACATCTATGAAAATGTGTATTAGACACTTGGAAACTATGTTGAATATATCTCAGAATACTCTATTTTGGTAGATTTCAACTTTATGAAGTTCATGGTTATTCTCAAGCTATCAATATACATCTGGGATACACTTTACTAGGGGTAATAAGTTAGCATTTACTTAACCAGGAGCTGAAAATTCAATTTGTGAATTACTCAATGAATATCTAATAGTCTCTATGAGTACTTTAAGATTGTGGGTAGGACTATGTCACATTCCCATTTCATAATGGAGAATTCCTTATCAGTTAAAAACTTATCTTTGCCAGCTATGGTGATGCATACTTTTAATCCTAGCTACCCTGAAGGCTGAGGCAGGAGGATAGCAAGTTTGAAGCCAGCTTGGGCAGCTTATTGAGACTCTATCTGGAAATAAAATAAAAAGGGCTGGGGACATATTTCAGTGTACAGTGATTTCCTGGCATGTGTGAGGCCCTGGGTTTGATACTCAGCACAATGTATACACATACAAAACAACAAAAAAGACTAACTGTAAGGAGTGGAGCTCTGGGAAACTGGCATAATACATTCATCAGCTCATGAAGGAATTATTTTACCAAATTCATTCACTGAAAGTTAGATGATGATAAATATCAGCCATCTTTCAAGCATGAGTCAGCTTCTAAGGGAGATAGTTTTTTTATCTCACAGATCCTAGAGTTCTGTGGAAAGACTGATTCACAACCTAGTAAATCTGATCCAGAGTAATGGCTGGGAGAAGGGGCAAATGCAGTGTGCACAAAGGAGGGCAATCTAATCCAGACTTAGAATCTAGAATCAGAGAATAATAGCCATAAATGATGATGGTGGTTGTGCACATATGGAAGGAGGGGTTTTGGGTAGTGGTGGGGAGTGGGGAAAATGATGAACAGTGGCTCACCTGAATCCCCAATATTCATTCAGATCACATTAATTTGCTTTCCACTTGGGTGCTGGAAGCTCACTCACATGAGGGAGCAAACCTGCACACTCTGCATTTTCTTTCTAGGAGTCAGATTACAAGCCTTGTGCTTGATTTGTTCATCACACGAGTAGAGGGAAGAATCAAGACCCTGTAGTTTTCTTCTTCCACTGTGAAAGTGGGAATAAACCAGGAAAGGAAGTAGATAGGGTGGAGAGGGAGCTCACTTTGTGGAGCTCAAAACATTCTTCTGCTAAACAATCCCAAAAACCCAATGGCATAGTTCTTATCTCATTTTACTATTGATTTCAAAGCCTGAGCTTCAAGCTGTACTCTGTGTCTGGGGAGTGACAAAGGCCAGAGGGAGAGTATGAAATGTCTCCAGGTAGGTTTTTTCATTTGTGAGCTTTCTTTAAGTTATACTATGGTAACAAATCTCTGTGGCTTACTACAGCCAAGTTATTTTTTTCTTTCTTTCTTTTTTAAAATCTCACTCCACAACCATGGATTGGCTTCAGCTCCACTCTACATATTCTAGGACCCAAGCAGATGGAGTCAGGCCTTTCTTATAGTATAGGGAAGAGTAATGGTGGAATATCACAATGGCTTTTAATGCATTTGCCTAATTGTAATATAAATCACTTCTGCTCACATTTCATTTGTGAAATCAAGTCTACCCAAGTCAGGTAAGCTTGATGCCAACTGGGTAAAAAGTAGGCTTCCTCCTCTAGAAAGAATTCCAAGGCGCTTGGTAGAGATGGACCTGAGAGTGACAAAATATTGTGAACAAATTATGAAATTGACAACAGTCTCCTGCAATGTTTTAGAGAGAGAATTTTCTCTTTACTTGTTTGACACTAATTTGCTAACTGTATTCATCAACTTCAGTATACAGGGGGCAAAATAATGACTCTGGGTAGACTAGCTTAATTGATTAAAAGTTGTCATCTGGGTCTAAATTGCAGAGGGAGGAGTTGGCAAGTTGGTCTTGCATTCATAAAATGCCCCATTTTCTGGCCATAAACTGACTCTTTCTCCATGCTGGCATATATTTATATTTGTTCCTATGAGGAAACAAGTAAGACAGATTAGGTGGGACAAACTTCAGACTTTAGTGATATTGATGGTGGCTCATGAGCAACACAATTTTTCATCAAAAGTCATCCTGATAAGAAGATCATTCACTGATAAATAAAAATAATTGACATATTGTCCATAAATATGCTTTGAACACTTTCAACTTGGAAGTTTAAAGAGATAAGTAAGATTTGGTCCCTGCCTTCAAGAACTCAAAGACCATGGTAGACAAGACATTTACATGGATTACTATATGAAAAAGCTGAAAAAGCAGAGCAACCTCTGTGGAGGAATTGGTGCTAAGCTAGATTTGGAAAGTATTTAGAGTAAAAGGAGGTCCACTAGCTGCAGGGCTAATCTTTCTCTCTTCCTGACTTCATGGCCTGCTTCTTTGGACTTAAGGGACTTGTCAATAGATGGAAACTCACCATCCTGTTATGGGTTTGTATGTAAGGTGTCCCCCAAAGGCTCATGTGTGAGACAATGCAAGAAGGTTAAGAGAAAAAATGATAGGGTTATGAGACCCTTTACTGAATCAGTAAATCAATCACCTGATGGGATTAATTTAGTGGTAACTGAAGGCTGGTGGAGTGTGGTTGGAGTAGGTGGGACATTGGGAGTGTGGCTTTGGGGTAAATATTTATATCTGGCAAGTGGAGTCTCTTTCTTTGCTTTCTGATCATCATGTGAGCTGTTTCCCTCAGCCACACTCTTCCACCATGATGTTCTGCCTCACCTTGAGCCCCGAGGAATGGAGCTGGCCTTCTATGGACTAAAACCTCTGAAACTGTGAGCCCTCGAATAAACTTTCTCTTTTCTAAGTTTGTTCTGGTTGGGTCCTTTTAGTCACAGTAGAAAAAAAAAAAACTAACTAAAACACCATCCTGATCCTCTTTATATGGAACAGCAGTGATATACTCTGACTGTGTGTTCTGAACAGTTATGTTCCTTTGCCCTTGTATTATCCAATAAATAACTTACGAGTGGAAATTATGAAGGCACATGAACAAACCTGTTCAATATGCAGAGTGAAATTTTAAAGTTAGTATGAAGGAGAGTGGCTACCTGTAAAACTGATTTGTATACATAGATTTTTCCATGTCGGGCATTCTTGTAATGGAGAATTCATTTGTATCTGCGACTCCTGAGTCCTAGACAAAGCAGGCAGTCTTTGTTCTATGATCATAGGAATACTTTGATGATTTGGGAGATGAGTCATCCCATGTTATGGCAGCTCCCTCCTTTTTTTCACCATCCTGCTTGATAACATTTAGACGTAAGTGTCAATCATTTGAGCTCTATTATACTTCAGTATTCAGAATCCATTTCATCCATTAAAGTAGATTGACCTTTAACCAACTTCTTAATTTACAGTTATTTCAGTTTTCACATCCCTGGAATGGGACTTTGTTATAAATCATC